TGTGTGTGTGTGTGTGTGTGTGTGTGTGTGTGCTTGTGTGTATTTATGCAGATTTCCTGGTAACTGTGTGCACACAGTGGGTACCAACTGGGTAAACACACAATTTATTGGGAGAAAATGCTAACCATTGTTAAAATGGTTAAATACAAATAAGTAAATATTATATTCCCTTATATTTAATGTATTGTAAAATAAATGAAGAGTCATGAAAGGTGATCCTTTTTCTCAGCTGTTAGATCTCATTTAGCCAGCTTTTTTCTGTATCACATGCAGTAATGTGTTAAAGTCTTGAGCCACCCTTCGATTCTTTAGATTTTTCTAGGAATGGTCCTGGGATTTATTGAAACATGCAAAAATAAATGGAAATACAGTACCTAAGGCAAAAGCAGAGTTTGTAGTTCTAATAGGTTAAAAAAGTCTGAAAGTCAGTTGATATGAGTGCCATCCGACCTCACAAATCACATGATAGGCTAGGTTTCACAATGAGTTCACCCGAAATCTTGGCTGATTGTGACCTACACCCGTCTTCACACCTTGGCTTGTGTGGTTAGGTAGAGGATCAATAGGGGGTCCATTGTCCCTCTTGGGGGGACACTCCCACAGGGCTTAAATCTGCGACTCTCCAGTGTAAGGACGGAACTGAGTGAACAAGCCGTTCTCAGAAAACTTGGAGAATTATTCCTTAAGATTAATTTAAAAGTGGTAAGATAGAAAGCTAGGCTCCTTTCATATAAAGATAAAGAAATGAGGGGTCACTCGAGATTCTTACACAGTACTGTCAACAACGCAGCAATACAAACACTGAGGCTGTGAATATCTTCAGCTCTGACAAATCTCTCCAATTTTATTTACATTTTATAAGAGGCAGATCCCCTTTCACTGCTATTCTCCCGATTCACAGCTTCTCACTTTACTGTAAATCTTACTGTCTGTAAATTAAATGAACTCTCCCCACTCTGTCTTGTCAGTGCTCTGAAAGTCATAAAACTCCATCTGCAGAAAAAACAAATTACGACAATATTTATCGCATCATTTCAATGCCTCGACGCTGCTTGGGTTTATAGGCGTGTGCCGTGAAACACACTGGAAGAAACTGATGTAAAGAGACAAAGCAGTAAAAAAATCACAGCACAAACAAAATAAAAAGTTGTCTTTTTCCTCCTATTAGCCCGAGCCTCCGTCAACCAACAAGTGGCAGCTGGACAGCTGGTTGAATAAGGTCCAAGCTCAGACCAAACCCCTGGTTCCCCCACAACAAGAACATCATGGCACAGGTTGGTAGACATGGAAGTTTAAAGCCATTCTGTCCACGAAGAACTGCAGGATGTGCTAAATAGCCTAGATAAACATATCTTGGTTAGGTTACAATTACCTATTCTAGTCAAATGGTCCACTGCTTAGGCTCCATCAACCAGGGTCCAGAGACATTCTCCCCAGGCAATGAGGCACCGGGAGTGGGTACGGCTGCCAAAACCAAGCCCTGTGGATCGAGCAGTACGCCTGTTCCAGCTGCACCTACAGTGGAGCACAAGGACACGAGGGCAGCTTTCTGGTAGGTTTGTTTAGAATATTGCTAAAGTAGCTCTTCAAAATAGCATCTGCTGAATGAAAGACTGAATGAAAGACTAATTGTAGGTTGCAGCTGGCAAAAATGTGTCTTAACCATATATATATGAAAAAAATGTGTTTTGTTTTCTTCAGCCCGGGCAGAGAGAAGGCAAAGGCCAAGCTGAGCCAGAAGGCCTCGGGGGAGGGCCAGAGGTCTAAGATGAGGCTGTCGCTGGGCCTGTTGTCGGGGCCTGAGGTCACGACCCCAAGGAGGAACACCACAGGGAAGAAACAGCCCAGACGGACAGAGAGGTCAAACAGCGTGGAGGATAATCAGAACCAGACATGGAACAGAGCAAACCAGCACAGGTAAGAAATAAAGGAAATGATGATTGTGTTTGCTTGTGTTTTACTTCTAATATAGTAGAAGCTTTGTTGGAGTAGTAATTGTTTGTTGTTGTTAAGAACGTTTTTTCATTGTAGACACAGAAAAGTAGTTCTTCAAAATAGATACGTAACACTGGCAGGACAGATTCATATAAGATAAATATAGTGCTGTAAAATCCTCACCATAGCATATATTCCCTCTAATGGCTGAATATAATATATATAATAATGTAATATAATATATAACCACTGAGTTCAGCTGGCATGCTCACATCTGTCACATCTGTTGTGATCTACTGTAGTGGACATGGATATAATTTTTTGACGTCATAGTGAAGTGAGGTTCTAAATATATATATATATATGTGTGTGTGTGTGTGTGTTAGGGGTACAACGATACACAAAATTCA